ACTGGATTGGAAATCACCAATTTTTTGACGTGCTAAGGGTGTTTAAATGCCAATATTTGGTCGTCAAAGGATTATGATTAGGATGTGGTGTGGTAGATGTGGTTACATAGTCGCCAATTGAGACGTTAGGTTATGGTATACACCTTGGGCTTAGGTTAGGCTAGGTTATAGGGATCGCCATAATTAAAATGTATGTTTTATGCTTATTGAGATATTTATAGTATATCACAGCACCAAATTCAATTGAAAAATTCTCCTTATCGCGTTTATTTGGGTAAATATCGTTACCCTTAATAACAGCTTTCTGGTTTAAAGTTATTAATTTCCGAAGAACAAAGCCTTTACTTCCACTATCTAACTTTATCCGCTCAGAGAAGCGTCTCCTCAGTAAGCTATAAATTGTTAGTAGGTAGGTACTTACATCTAACGGTGCCATAAATAGATACACATTAGGCTGTGCTAATGCTCCAGAGGTATCATTAATCCGGCGCTACGATTAAGGTGTTTTGTCTAACTTTATATTATACCAGTAATCTACAATACTCAATGGCAATTTGTAATGTAAGTATTGCTACCAAATTAAAGGTCTTGGCATTCTACGTTATTCATTAAAAAAGAGCTTTAAACGTGAATTTTCTTGAAGCTTTTGTGCGATAAACTTCGAGTTCTTGATGACGATGAGCTTTTCTCAATCATGTGTTAGGCTTTACGTAATAAGGAGTATTAAAAAATCACTGAAATGTGAAAAAGAAGCTATCCAGACCTAAATCTTAAACCTCGAATTAATTTTTTTTGAATGATTTTCTTAAAACGACTAAGCGCATGAGAAAATCTCTGAATATCAATCAGGAAAAGTTTCACTTATCCACAATAGAACTTTTACACAACTTAATCGTTCAATTTATTTGATTTAATAATTTAATAACAGTCTGAATGCAAGAAACTAGGTAGATGATACAATTGAGATAAGCCAGTAAAAAGTTGCGTCAAAAAAGGCCAGAATTTTTACCATTTAATAAAATGTGTTACTTTTATTTATTCTAATTCCTACATTTTTAATAAACAATAACTGATAGTGAGTAGAAAGTGCATATTATTTATGGGTCAAAAAATATCTGTTCATACTCTGATTGCTGATTAATGCTGTAGGTACATATTTGCCCGAATTCAACGTTTAATTGAGTAGTTTACTCCACGCAACTAGCAGCTACGTATATGCATATTTTAATTTAACAATAGCTAAATTAATATTGATCAACTCAATGCAGCATGAATATTAGACGGATTAAACTCTAATAATTGAACGTATTTTACCAATATTCCTATTTAAATAAATCGCTCATGGGCAACAAACAGAATTACACATAATATGAAATTTCATTTGAGTCAGATGTAGTAACGTTATTAAATATTAAACGGTTTTGTAAAATTTACGCTTGGGTTTCACAATTTTATTTTTACATTAAAACATTAAAAAGTCTACATTATTATTCGCCGACTAGCCGCGGGCGCCTTTCTTCATGTGCGCCGTATTTGTAAATGTGTGTGTCGTACCTGCGTTCTGGGAAAGCAGTTAAACAGTTCAAAGAAAAAAATAAACTATGCGGATGTTTCATGAAGGTTCCAGAAAGTAAACAAAAGAGTATTTAAAGGAAGAGACGATTGCCGAGAGAAAAAGAAATAAATTGACCGTTGCAGAAGTGAATCGAGAAATGAATTGACAGTGATAGAAGTGAAATAAATAGCGTAATGAATAGTGATATATCAACAGAGGGTAAATAAAGAGAATAATTCATAACCTAAGTTAAGTAATAATTTAATAGTGTTTTTAAGTTCTTTAATAATTAGTGTAAATAAATGGTTTTTTGTCGTTATCAGTCGAAGAAGTTCATTTTGTTAAACCCACGAACATTACAGTATAATATATTGACGGGGACAGAAATTCTCCATGATTAGTGATTCGAAAGGATTATTGTATCAGAGATTTTGTACCCAACAGAGGTCCAGTCCCTTCACTAAAATGAGTAGTTTATCACAACTGAAAAACTACTCATTTTTGGACAGTTTACGATGTGAAAAATTTACTGGAAATGGGTTCAAGTCTAATCCCATCAAGGGAACATATCGAATTGCCTTGTATATGTATTATTGTATGCACATAAATTTTACTTATATTGATTGAGAAGGTGGGCAGTTGCTATAGAAACAAAAGTAAAATGAATCTAAAACCCTCAGTGAAAAGTATGCTCACGTATGATACTAAAGAAAGTCTTGGGGAGGCGCGGATAAAAATAAATGAAGGGCCTACTTTTTATCCAATCTTCTGAGACGTTTATTATGGTAATTTAGGGCATTATTATTAAGACCACGAAAACTCTTACTTCTTTAATAAGAAAGGAAGACGAACTTTTTTGAAATTTACAAACATATGAACCTTCTTAATAATACAAGTCAAAAAACGCACAAAAATTGAATTCAATAACGACAATTTTGAACATAATTCTAACATGTATACTATTACAGTGAAATTACTTTCTCTTTTTGGCCAAATGTGTTTTTCTTTTTTTTTTATTTATTAACCTTAAAAGAAAAAGTTTGCTGTCAATAGAAAATCGCAAATTATTCAGAAACTCTAAAACCTACATCATCCGTAAAATTTTCCAATAATGTTGACGTAAACTTTTAGAAGGCTTGCCCTTTTCAAAATTTCACGTCAACTACACAGTTTGAAAAACGGGAACATATGTTTTCAACCTACTTCCGGAAATGTCTCTGAATATATCTCACATGAGGAATAACAATAACAATTTTGGCACCATTTTTTTAACATGTTAAGGAACAACAGTAATCAGTTTTCAAGAACATCACTGTGGACGAACTTGTATGAAAAGGGAAGTAGCAACATTACAATCTACATCCATCTTCATTTTGGGCTTTGAGAGCTTCAAAAGGTTTTCGTAATAATAGGATTAGGGATCAGGACGAGCAGGACGTAGATAAGATGATGCTTGACGGTAGAGCATAGAAATGAAAGTTTCAAAGGGACTTTTAGTGTTTTTAGTCGTCTAAGCAGAATCCTTTGTTCTCTTACTAAAACATTACAGAACCTCTTAGATCCGGTGAAAATTTATTAATAGAACTGTCTATCCGATAGAATAGTTCAAGTGACCTACATCAATCAAAAATAAAATAACAAACTAAGTGTTTATATGTCAATCTTAATAGTACACTAGGTTTTACTTTAGGAAGGGAGTCAGGCAGGGATGCACACTGTCACCGCTACTTTTTAATCTATACATCGAAGACGCCATCAACATCATTAAAGACAGTACAACTGTAGGGATAGACGTGCAAGAGCAAAAGATTAGTATGCTTAGATTTGCAGATGATATAGCAGTATTAGCATCTAGCAAGGAGGACCTAGACATAGCTTTAAATAAAATGGAAGCGGTACTGACAGATCAGTACTGTATGAAAATAAATAAAAGTAAAACTAAAATACTGATATGTAAGGGAAGAAAAAGTAGGGAAACAGCGAATATAAAGATAGGAAACGAAAAAGTAGAAGAAGTGGCTGATTTTAGATACCTAGGAAGTCAGATAAGTGAGGATGGAAGGAGTAGTAGGGATATAAAGCAGAGGATAGCGCAGGGTCGTGTCGCCTTTAATAAAAAGAAGTCACTTCTATGCTCGCGAACGGTTAATTTAGAAATTCGAAAAAGGTTGTTAAAGGTGTATGTTTGAAGCACGGCGTTGTACGGGTGCGAAACATGGACAGTGGGAGCGGCGGAAAAGAAAAGGTTAGAAGCGTTCGAAATGTGGTGTTATAGGCGGATGATGAGGATATCGTGGGTAGAAAAGGTTAGAAATGAAGAGGTATTGGAAAGAATAGAAGAACAGAGGACTCTATGGAAGTCAATAAAAAATAGGCGAGATAGGTTGGTAGGACACCTTCTCAGGCATGAAGGTAGTCAGAGACATAGTAGAGGCAGAAACAAGAGTTAAAAGTAGTAGAGGTAGACCTAGATTAGATTACTGTTCGCAAAT